CACAGAGAGAGAGAGAGAGAGAGAGAGAGAGAGATGTCGTAAGGGTGGTCGTGCTCCCAACACTTTTGCGGTGGTGATTCAGATGGGAGCATCCACCTTTACGACATCTATTTCTCCTCCCACAGAGAGAGAGAGAGAGAGAGAGAGAGAGAGAGAGAGAGAGAGAGAGAGAGAGAGAGAGAGAGAGAGAGATGCGGAAGGGGTGAGACGTGAAGACAATATATTATGATTGAAGAGGAGGAGGATTGCATAGTCATTGTCCTGCGCGGATTCGAAGCTCTGTCTCGCCAGGTTTTCGTCGTCAGGCGGTTGCTTATCGACATTGTCGATAGTTTCTGCAACCGAACTGAATCACTCACTCACTCACTCACTCACTCACTCACTCACTCAATCTATCAACCATAATGAAAGTCAATTGGAATCAATCAAATATCAAATCCGAATAGCAAACTCACATCGATCCGTCCATCAACCCATTAACCAATCAACAATCCAATCAATCAATCAACAATCCACTCACTCACTCAATCAATCACTCAAACTCAATCACTCAATCAATCAATTAATCAATCAATCAATCAATCAATCTATCGAATCAGTCATTTCCTCATCTAGTCAATCACAATCTTTGTCCTTACCTCCACAAATCAATTGCTGCCTGCCTGCCTGCCTGCCTGCTTGCCTGCCTGCCTGCCTGCTTGCCTGCTTGCCTGCCTGCGTGCCTGCCTGCCTGCCCTGCCAGTGCCATCCCTCTCGCTGTGCTGAGTGGAATGGGGAACGCTTTCCACAAAAAGAAGAAGCCTACTGTCGACGAAAGGTTCACGAAACCTCAAGGATTGTATCCGATAGTCGGCCGTGAAGGCGATTTGAAGAAGGTCCGCAAGCTCATCCTTGAGGGCAAGTTGTGCCCTTTTTATCCCGGAAGAGATGAACCCGCCGACGAGAGTTCGACGGACATCGAGGTGGCGGATGATTTTGAGGAGTGCCCCATATGCTCCCTTCAGTACCTGGCCTTGAATAGGTCCAAGTGCTGCGGCAAAGGGATCTGCACAGAGTGTTACGTCCAGTTAAAACCGGCCAGCATTCGCGTAGACAGGGTGCCGTCGGGGACCCCTTCGAAATGCAATTGCCCCTTTTGCAAGTCGCCGAATTACGATGTGGAGTACAGAGGGAAGAAGACGAGGGCGGAGAGGGAAGGAGAGAGAGTCGAGGAGCAGAGACTGATCGAGGCACAGCTGCGGCAGCGACGTGAGGAGGAAGAAGAACAGCGAAGAAGAGAAGAAGATATCCGCAATGGATTGATTATCGTCCCTCGGCCGCCTCCTTCTCCTTCTCCTTCTTCTCGTCTCCCTCCACCTCCTATCCATCTCCCTTTCCTCCCTCCTCCTCATCACCTCCCTCCTCCCCTGCCTGCTCGCCCTCCCTGGGCGCTCTCCCCGCCTACTTCCGCCAACAGCTCCCCGCCGTCGCCCCTGTCCCTCGATCTCAACGAGGCTGACTCACACCTGGTCATCCCGATCGCCGCTGCTGCGCGAGGTTCCGCTCCTCCTTCGGGTTCACCTTGTCCGACATCATGGGGAGTGATGCAGAGAGATGCTGCGGGCGGGGTGGGAGAGGTGGGAGGAAGAAGCGTAGCGTTATCGACCGCTTCAGCCTTCCGGTACGGTCCGCCGAGCCCTGTCCGATCAGCACCTGGGCATGACGCGAGGTCCTGGTTCAGAGTGGCCGCAGCCCAGGAGCTCAAAATGGTTGAACCGGAACGAGCAACGCCGGCAGCAGCAGCAGCAGAAAGAGGAGGAGGAGCAGCAGCAGCAGCAGGAGGAGGAGGAGGAGCAGCAGCGAGTAGTGCTGTTGGTTTGTTGCCCACAGGTTACCCTGAAGGTCGTGCAAGCCTGTACGCTTTCTCTAGGATGTCTCTCGGTCCTGGAACAACAGGCTGTGTACCTATTCCCATTCTTTCTGGTTCCAGGTCCATCGTCGCTCCTCCTCCTCCTCCTCCTGGCACGGACCTTCCGTCTGCCCCCGCTTCTTCTGCTGCTGCTCCTGCCGCCGAAACCTCGTATATACTGCCACCACCACCTCCTCCTCCTCCGCCTCCTCGACCTTCTCCCCCTCGTCCTTCTCCTCCTCGTCCGTGTCCTCCTCCTCCTCCTCCTCGTCGTCCTCCATGGGGCCAACAGGAACACCAGCAGCAAGAGCAGCTGCAGCTGCAGCACCGGGACCACCACCACGGGCTTCACGGCGGGCACCTTCACTCGTTTCGAGATGGCATGGCGGCCTTCAACTCACTGCGCGCCGTTCTCGATCCCGCCGCCTTGCACCCCGCCGCCCTCCGGGAGCAGATGGATCTGGACGAGGCGATCCGGTTATCGCTGCTAGACCAACGAGCGCGGCGGCAGCAGGAGGAGGATCAGAATGCGAGGSGGGAGGGGGGAGGAATTGGGCGGCAGCTGCTGGTGGAGGAGATGCGCAGACGAGGCGATCCGGTTATCGCTGCTAGACCAACGAGCGCGGCGGCAGCAGGAGGAGGATCAGAATGCGAGGGGGGAGGGGGGAGGGATTGGGCGGCAGCTGCTGGTGGAGGAGATGCGCAGACGAGGCGATCCGGTTATCGCTGCTAGACCAACGAGCGCGGCGGCAGCAGGAGGAGGATCAGAATGCGAGTCGTCGACGCCGTGGGGAGGGGGAGGAGATGTCGCAGAACCTTCGCTCGAAAGTTCGCTGTCCTTTCGGGACATGATAATCGCCCGCCGGGAGGAAGGCGCGGAACCAGTGGAGGACCGGTCGTCGGCCGCTGTCCAAGCGCCCGCTCATCAGAGTCACTCCCCCCCACTCTCTGTCGGGAGGGAAGCCGAAGAGGGAGGCGGACAGGAGGGCGGTGGGGAAGAGGAGAGAGAGAGAGACTGACTTGTGCTGCAGGGTAGGAGGAGGAGGAGGAGGAGCTACAAGAAAGCAAGGAAGCCGAAGAGGCACTACCGGTAGGCACTCTCTGCTCTCAGACTGTCTGGAGCAAATGGGTTGGGTTGACAGATTTATTCTGGTTTATTGCTGATTTTGCTGTGTTCTATTTTCGTCTCGACCAGTGGGGTGCTATCGCTATCGCTGCCGTTTTTCTTGCCGTTATGTTTTTGTTTTTGTTTTTGTTGTAATTGTTGTTGTTGCCTGTCGGGATCCGGACGACGGTGAAACATGTGGAGGAAGTGGAAGGCTTTCCCAAATTTGGGATCATCAGAGGGGGGCGCGCGACAGAAATAAATGGATTCCAATGACTCAGGCATCGTCCTTTGCTCCCCACGACATGGCACGTATATACACACACAGAGACACAGAGAGAGAGAGAGAGAGAGAGAGAGAGAGAGAGAGAGAGAGAGAGAGAGAGAGAGAGAGAGAGAGAGAGAGAGAGAGA